GGGAAAAAATCTAAATATTAAAAAAAAACCTCGCTGATCCACAAGTATGAAATCTTATAGCCATAAAAGAAATAAGACCTGCAATTCAGTTTTTAGAGATCCTCCAAATTTCAGATCTTAATACTTTCAGATGCCATTCGATCTCAGTCAAACATTAATTACTCGAATTTACAACTATCACAAACAGAAAAAATTCAAATCTTCACCACTCACATGCACACACATAAGAATCTATTCAAGCATAAATATAAATCTGCATGTGAAAAAGAAGAAGAGGATAAATCTGCATGAAAAATCAGTCCAAAAAAAAAACAAAATTCAAGATTACAATTGAGAGAGATTAGAGAGGAGAAACTAACTTTTAGATTTTTGGAGATGTTTTAGATCTGTCTTCGATGTAGTATTAGGTTTGTAGAGAGAGAGAGATGAAAATGGAAGAGAAAATTTTGACCCGTCTTTTGTAATGGTTTTGGATTTCAATCTAAGAGGCGTTATGTTATGACATAGAAGATGCCAATCATGTAGTGACACGTATATCACTCGGAAATGAAAAATCACACGTCTGATATATGTGAAACCTGAAGATGAAACTGCCATAACAAACTAGGTTTGAAATTTACGCAAAGCTGTCGACTTGAGGAAAATATAAATTAGGGACAAGAATAGTTGTTAATATTATTTTATTAATGAAATATATATTTTTAGTTTTGTTAATTGCGTCTTCCTTTTTTCTTTTTCTTTTTTTTAATTAAGTGGTATAATTTAATTATAAACTAAATTTAAGAAAAAAGGATTTTTGAGACTTGAAATCTCAAATATGTCATGAATTTTGAAGCTATAAAAGTATGCCATTATGTGTAAGGGGTGAACAGAGGCGGATCCAGAATTTCAAGAGAATGCGTGTGCTTTTGTAAAGAATTGCATCTAGAATTTATATTTGACGCGTTTAACTTTAGTTTCTTATCATGAACTCACTACACTTTTGAAATTATAAGTTTAAAATTATATTCTTTTTGAAATTTTAGTAATTTTCACATATATTTATACTTCATGTTGAAAACAAGACCGTTCAAAGTAAGATTTGAACCGTCAAATTCACTTGTAAAGGTGTACCCAATAATAGTTACACCATAAGCGTATTCGAGCATGAGTGCACACACACATATATTTAAGTAATTTTGAAGAAATATAACATTATTATATATGATTTAGGGAGAGGAGTATGGGTTCACGTGAACCCATATCCCTCAAGCTGGATACACCTCTGGGGTGAACGTTCGATATTTCGGTATGGTATTTAAGAATTCTGGTTCGGTACTTTGATATTCGACCTATCAATTGTACATAGCAAAGTAGTTTGTTACAATTTGATATTTCTTATTTGGTTCGTATAGTTTTAATTCAGTTTATCAATTGTATAACAATTGTTGCTGGGTTTTCAACTATTCACATGGCAAATCAGCAAGACAACAACGAAATCAAATATCAATTTGAATGTCTTATAGCCTATTTGGCCAAGTTCTCAATAGGCCAAAAATATTTTTTTTTTCAAAAGTATTTTTTTCCCTTAACTTGAAGTGTTTGGCCAAATATTTTTGGGAAAAAAGTGCTTTTGGGAAGAAGTAGAAGCAATTTCTCATAAGCAGAAAAAAATAGTTTTTTCCTAAAAGCAGAAGCAGTTTTGACTTTTTTTCTTACCAAAATTACCCTTAACAAAATATAGTATATATCAAAATAACCATTAAACCTAATACTAGTACTTAAGATATTAATGTATAAATATTTCTTATTATTTTTAGGATAACTTTCTAATATATAATGACTTTAGGGGTGGGTGCTTTTATATTTGTTAAATAATTTTTAATATATTTAACTTATATTAAAAGAATTAAGTACTTTTAAATTTTATTTTCATATTTTACTTAAATAAAATAAAAAAATTTAATTATTACCTGTAATAATAAATTTTTAAGATTATTTATTTACTTATAATATTAACTACACTACACCAAATTTGATTATCAATGACGAATTATTTTGTCATTTAAAAGTCATATTTCGTCACAAAAAATCTTTTGTGACAAAAAATAATTTGTCAATCTTTCATCCCGAAACATCGACACTAAAAGTATAGAAAGACAATTTTGTGGTTAGTCGCTAAATCAAGTTATATTAGTGACGAAATTTTTTTTCGTTCCCAAATGCCTATTATTTGTGACGAATTTATTTATCGAAAAAAGTATAAAATATTTGTCACTAATAGCGTATTTTTGTCACTAAAAAGATTATCAATGCCGACAAAACTACCTTGTCACGAAATATTTAGTTTAATTAGTGACGACGTTAATTGTCTCTAAAGTTATATGTATTTCATAGTTAAATTAACGTTATTTCATCACTAAACACTACCTTTTATGTACAAAAAATATTTCGTCCCCAAATATATAAATTAGTGACAACTTTGCTTTTACAAAAATAATTTACAATTTGTAGTTGAAAACTAGTATGTCGCCACCAAAAATCATTTTTTTACAATATTAGTTAAAATTATCATAAAATACGAATCCGTAAAATGATAATTCTCGGACACGAAATATTTTGGTCACTAAATGTGGTCAATTTATGATGAACATTTGATGACGTCAAAATCCGTAGTGGTACTATTTATAATAACTTCCCATTAATTCAAGAATTTATCATTTACTAACTAGAAATAACATAATAAAACATGGAAGGAAACAACAAAATTCTCACCCATGATTACCTAATTAAGTGTAATGACATAACCGGTCATTTTAACTTTTAGAACCCCGTTCCCTAAAATAAAATTTTCCGTAGGTGCTTGTAATGATTTATGACTTGCGGGGATGGTTGGTTCGGGATTTGGAAGTGTTTGGGGTGAAACCGAAATACTTGGTTCCTTAAGTTGGCCTTAAAGTGCTAAGTTTGACTTCGGTCAATATTTTGAGAAAACGACCCCGAAATAGAATTTTGATGATTCCAACAGCTCCGTATGGTGATTTTGGACTTAGGATCGTGTTCGGAATTTTATTTGAAAGTCCGTAGTTAAATTAGGCTTGAAATGGCTAAAAACAAGAATTTAAGTGTGGAAGTTTGACCGATGAGTTGACTTTTTGATACCGGAGTNAGAGCTGTAAGTTATAAAAACAGAGGACATTCGTCCCATTTGCCATTTTTGACGAACTTGAGCAGATGCGACTTTTGTCAGATTTTCAAGGAAAAAATATTGGGGTAAGTGATTCTAACTCGGATTTGGTCTACATATACAAGTATATCATTGTTTTCACCATAAATTAGTGTTTTGAGATTTAAATTTGGGAAATTTTTAGAAATCTCATAGAAACGAATTTTTGAGATTTCGGTATCGATTCGGAGTCGGATTTGAGTGAAACTGGTATGGTTGGACTCGTAATTGAATGGGTTATCGAATTTCATAACTTTTGCCGGATTCCGAGACGTGGGCCCCACGGATGAATTTTTAATTTATTTCGGAATTTTTATTAAAAATATAGTATTTTCTTATAGAATTGATTCCTATAGTTTTTAGTGATTGTATCGAATTATTTTGGATAGATTCGAGCCAGACAGAGTTGGATAATCGTGGAAAAGGCCTTATAGTGGATTAATTGGAGCAAGACGAGGTAAGTCTCTTGTCTAATCTTGTGAGGGAGAAATTACCCCATAGGGATTAAATTGAATAATTGTTGCTAATTGCGGGGGCTACGTACGCACGAGGTGACGAGAGTCCGTGCGTAGCTACTATTAATGCTAAAGTCCGGGTAGTTTAAGACTCAAAGCATGAATTACTTGTGTGAATTGTATTCTTTATTAATTAAAATAATTGATGTATGTATTGTGAATTGTTATGAAAAGTAGAAAAATATGAAATTTTCATATGTTTAATTTTTGTTTAAATCAATTAATTGTTAAAAAAAATTGTTCTCCTCCTAAATTCATCGTATAATAAATATACCCTCCTTCCGGAGGCACATAAGAAAATATCCTCCTTTCTTGTGGAGCGGGCCGAATGCCTCGACAGGATAGATACATTTATGGATCGCGCTGCACGTCCCTCGGCAGTGTACACGACATTCTGGATCGGGCCGTACGTCCTCGGCAGAAATCGTGCTTAATAATAATAATTACACGATATTTTAATAATTTATTTCAGCTTGTGAAGCTAATTCATAAATTGAAAAATTCTTGAAATTTAATGAATTATTATTCTTACTTGTTAAGGAATTAATTGTTACTCCCGTAAATGAGATTTAATTGATAAATTGGAAATTATTTGAATTGAAAGAATTTAATTAATATATTGAGAATTGTTACATTTGAAGGAATTTGATTATTTCTGCTGATTAAATAAATTATTGTAAATTCTGTAAATCATGCTGATTTAAATCTCCTAGTTTTATTTCAGTTATTATTATTGACCCATAATGAGTGTCAAAGTCGGCCATCTCGTCTCTATCACTTCGAGATTAGGCTTGATACTTACTGGGTACACGTTGTTTACGTACTCATACTATACTTGCTGCACTTTTTATGCAGGATCTGAGACAGGTACTAGTGGAGGACCTATCATCACATACTCACGTCATCCCGAGGCATAGTGGTGAGCTGCCTTTCTGAACCGTTCTGCAGCTACCAGTGTCTCTTCTTATATTTATATTCTGTCTATTTCATTTCAGACAATATTTGGAGTTTTGTATAATCTACTAGATGCCCATGCACTTGCGACATCAGGTCTTGACACACACATATTGGTAGAAGTTGATATTTTATTATTTTTTTGGAATAAAAATTTAATCAATGTACGTTTGACTTATTAGTTGGCTTGTCTAGCTGTAGTGTTGGGCGTTATCACGACCTATAGATGAAATTGGATCGTGACATTAAGAACTAGTACTATATTGAGATAATATCTCATTACAAACTCCTTAATATAAAACACAAGAATAAAATAAAATTCATTCAACAACATGAGGTCAAATAGAAATACAATAATTTTAGTAATAAACTAAGAAAGAAAGAAAAAATGCTGCTTCCTCAAACGCTAATGTAACCACTTGTCTAGTAACTTTGCTGTTGAATAAATTTAAACTTTCATGTACCTGGGGAAATTTTTTTTTAGTACATTTGATAACATAATTTAGCAAAAAATATATTTTCAGACATTAGTCATATCATATTTTAATTTGTAAAGAAAATAATAGAATGACAAATTAGTCCTGGCCGGTACAAAGATACTTGGTCAAAGTTAGACAGTAAATATTAATTCTTCTTTGACTGCAAATAACCACAACAATAAAGACAGAGATATAAAATTAAGATTACTTAACCTCTCAAAAATTAAAGAATAATAGACAAATTTCTTCATACCTCTACAATAGAATTAAATCAGTAAGAACCCACAAATACGTACACGTAATATATCATCTGGAGAAACCCAAATTTTTATTGCCCTACAATTGAAAGAAAAAGATATTCCGTATGAGAGATGCAATAGAAAAAAAATTGAAGTATAATTAATATTTCTTAACTTAGATTGAGGATTTGTACCAAAGCAAAGGAGGCATAGATTGATAGGAAGATGAATTTCACAAAGAGTTGGGAGAGAAATGGGAGAGAATTGAGAAATGGGGAGGCGGCAGTACTCATTAAAAAGAGGGATTTGGGAACACAAAAAAGAAAAGGAGGGAAACATGCCGCTATTCTTTTCGTACAACTTTGAAATAAATGAAAACTGAAAGTTGACAAAAAACTAATCAATAATGAAAACAATATTTTTAACAACCATGAGAACATTGTTGTCAATTTATTTTCATTTTAAATTTATTATGTTACCAAAATACCACAAGATTAAATTTTCGCTAACAAGAAAAAGTTAATGATTAAAAGTTTATTATGTATACCAATGGTTAAATCAAATTATTGCCATTTTTAACGACCAATACTACGGTTGTTGATTAAAAAATATCGGCAATTCTATAATTTTATAGTGAAAAATCTAAATTTTTTAAATTGGTTTAATTTAATTAAAGACATTTTCATCATTTGACAAAAAAATGTATTTATCTATATTTTTGACAATTATACCAACTGTTTATTACTATCAGTTACCTTAATATTATCTTGACTAGTGTTAGAAACCGCGCAATGCGCGGATACTTTGATAGAATATTAATCTTATAAAATTATGATCTAATATATTATAGTATTATTTTAATAAATCTTAGTTATTATTTTATTATTTAATATAGTGTGCAGAAATATAACAAAATTCATACAAAATCAAATGATGCACATCATATAATAATTAAATAAATTATTTATTCCTTATTTATTCTTTATTAAATTAACAAGTACTTAGTACTATATATTTGCAAATGTGACTTTTTATTAACTTGTCAATTGGCTTAATATTTTGATACTACTTCTCTTTTAATATAACATGCATATATATTTTCTTACTCTGAAAATATTTTTTTAAAACTTATGTTATACTGTTTAAAATTCTTTAATGGTCTAAATTTATCAATAATTTATTTTAAGTGTTATTTATTTATTTTTTATTTTTTAATTAATTTAAATATAAATATTATAAAATTATCTTTATCCCCCTCTTTTCGTACATTCTTTTCTACTGTAATATTTGATTAGTTTTCTTATTTATAGTTTACTGAAAATTTAAATAATATAATATTTTTTTACTAAATTATAATTTTGAATTCATCAAAAGTATAAAGAGATAAGCCTTTTATTATTTTTATAAAAAAATTACCAATATTTTTAATAATTATTAATATGTGTGGTTATGTATACTATCCTAATAGTATCTTTATATTTTTGTATTTTTCATAATGAAATTATGAGTTCTATTTATTAACTAAAATTTCCCACATGAGAAATTTAATTAGCATATACATTTTTACGCTATCGCTTGAAATTCCTTTTTTTAGTATTCTTCCGTTATAGCTATTTGTTTATTACGATTTTAGCTATGTTTATATGTATGACTTTTCTCATTATAATTCTAATTATAAGTCTTATATTTCTATATTTTTCCATAACTTTTTTTCCTGGCTTATCTAATTGTATTATCTATTACTTAATATTATTAAAGTGTCATATGAATTTTTAATAAATTAGTAGTTTAATATAATGGTTTCCTCAAAATTATATAGATATGTAAGGCCCCGTAAAATTTTACCTAAAACCCGGGGTTTCGTGGCACCTGATATCGCCCAAACTCACACCACTAATTTAGGTTGCGAGGCGGTCGATGCAATAATAAAAACCCAACGCGAGTTGGGGTCGATTCCACAGGGAGCTTGATGAGGGATTATGTATATACCTAGTGTGAATGTACGACGTGCCTAAGATTACACTTCTACATTTTCAATTTTTGCTTCTACTTCTATTTTTTTACGCTAATGCTTGTAATTATAAAGCTAAGAGACAATATTTTTTTGTTTTGGTTATTTTTCAAGTTATAAAAGATCTAGGGTTGCGACTTCCACCTAGTTGGTTACCTAACGGATTTAGAGCTTTAGGGCATATTTATTTGATCGGGATACAATATAGCAATCACACTTAATTACTCACTCTATACCTCTCGGTAGTTTGAGTGATTTTGCCCAATTTGGCTTTCTCAAGTCCAAATGGGTATCTAACGAAACAAGTGATAAATGCTCAAGTCGGGTCTTACTATCTCTAGATTCGACCCTTTAATTAGGGCTATCAATTTCTTGAGTTTACCCCAATTCTTGTTAACCAAGTTTTCCTAGACTTAGTTTCACTTTCTCAAGTAAAGACTAAGTCAATTAGGCATGAATCAACGTTTGCAACCGTCAATTCTCAAATTCAAACAAGAACTAGGCTAAATATCATATACCCAATCATAAATAATTCCTAAATCAATCATCCATTAAGTAAGTACCCATACTAGGATTGGATCACAACCCTAGCTAAGGGTTTGGCTACTCATGGAAAATGAAGAAATTAAAGAATTAACTAAGATAAAATACATAATAATTGATTAAGGAAAGAAAAACTAATGTTTAAATGCTAAACTAGTACAGAGTTACCCAATACAGTAAATAAAAATAACTCTAAGTGTTCAGGTGCACCAGACTTGACCTAAAAATAAAAAAAGATCTATTTATACCCAGATAAAAATATCCGACAAAATTACCCCTATGAAGGTTGTACGGCCGTACAATTATGTGCGTGGTCCGCACTTTGAGATTGACTAGTTAGGTTGGCTTTCTGCGGTCGCATAAAAGTGAGATGCGGCCGCACTTCCTTTAATTGTGCAGACCATACATTTCTGAGTGCGGCCGCACTCTTGCTCTTGGGCTGGATCTGGGCTTCATTTTGTGGACCGCATATTTATGAGTGCGGCCGTATTTTGGCATCCTGCGACCGCACATCTTCAAGCACCAAAACTACAGTTTCCGAATCTAGTCTTCTGCGGTCGCACAATAATTGTGTGGTTCGCACTCTATGAAGAAATTCAATCAATGCATCTTCAGAGTTTGCGGCTGCATAAAGTATTGTGCGGCCCGCACTGTAGCAGTTTTGCCTTATTTTGGTTCTTATCCAATTTTACTCCTTTTTGAGTTGATTTTTACTTCTTTGGCTCGTTTTCCAATATTCCTGCAAGAGAGTACATTTCATTAGTTCTCGCGAATACTTTTAAGCTTTTTTAGCTAAAACGTAAGTAAAAGAGAACAATTAAGCGGTCAAAATCCTTACTTATCAGCGCCGAGGTAGAGTAATGTGATTGAGGGTTCGGTACAGACATTGTGGGTTGTACAATACATCGGGGAGTTGAAAGGATCATTTTGCAAACCATGGCATTTCTGTAGCCCACTATGCGACTGCAGAACCACTTTGTGGGCCGCATATCGGCTGCATAGTGAAGCAGAACTTAGCTAATTTTGAGGACCATTATACGACCGCATAACCATTTCACGGGCCGCACAACCCATCGCAAATCGAGCAAGAGAAAACACCGAAAGGAGGTTTTGCCGTCCATTATGTGACCGCATAACTGATATGCGGATCGTAGATCCGTCGCAGGCCTGTCCAGCTCTGCCCAGTTTTTGGGACCCTTTCTACGGTACCCTTTGCGGGCCGCATGCCTGTTTTGCGGTCCGGTTTGCGACCGCAGACCCCGCTTCATAGAGTTTAAGTTTTGGAAAACTTTCCTGATCCCATTTTTATAAAAACAACTTGGGGTTTAGATTGGCTAGTCCTAACTGATATTATAAAGTTTTAAAATTCACTAAAAAAATAAAATAATAAATATAAGAAAAAATAAAGCTTTTTAAAAATTGGTTGTAGATACAAATTTATCCAACATGGAATTTATCTATGAAAGATTTTAAAAAATTATCATTTCGTATTAGAATTTGAGCTTTTATAATAATATTAGCTTTTATGTGCATGCATTATGCGTATATTTTTTTTATTTGAATTAAATGAACTTGACACTTTTCAAGAAGGAATTAAATTGTGTTCGAAGTTTTTAAAACATCCTCAAACTTCTAAGCATATATAAATAAAAAAGTAAAAAATATTCTTAAAATTAACACAGGTAAAAGAAAAGTATATTTTTAAGAAGGAATTAGATTGTTCCAACTCATAAAATGTAACAATAACAAAAAATGAAAATACCTTTTCCATAAGGAATTAAATTATTTTAAAAAATTCATTAAGTAAAAAAATTTGCAGAGAAATAACCTTTCAAGAAGCAATCATTTTTTCCTCTAGTCGCAAAAAGAAACCTAAAATTAGAGNATATATATTCCTAACAATCATAATAAAATGGAAAATAGACATATTAATAAGAATTATAATTTGATGCAATATCGCATGCATATATCTTAAATTGGTAAATATAATGAAGGATATATCACACTTTTCTCAAATAAAAATTGTGTTTCCTTCTAATTGTAACGACCCGACCGATCGTTTTGAGCTCTAACGCGTCATTCAGCGGTTTGAGATACTAAGTAGCTTCACTTCAGGTATTATGACTTGTACGCGTGGTCGGAATTTAATTTCGGGAAGTTCGAAGTTGATTTGGAAAGAAAATTCTAATTTCGGAAGCCTTAAGTTGGAGGAATTGACTAAAGTATGATTTTTAAGTAGACGACCTCGAAATTAGGATTTGAAGGTTCCAACAAGTTTGTATGATAATTTTGGATTTAGGCATATACCTGGAGCGGATTTTGGATGACTCGGGAGTGTTTCGGCGCCTATTATGGAAGTTGGTATTTTTGGAAGAATTTTCTAAATTTGGGTTGAAGTGCATTTCAATGTTATTGATGTCCGTTTGGGATTCCGAGTTTGGGAATAGCTCTGTATGGTGATTCTCGTATTAGGAGTGCATCAGGATGTGGATTTCGAGATTCGTAGGTCAATTGGAGGTCATTTGGCGAAAGTTAGAATTTGAAGGTTTTTGGAAGTTTGACCGGGAGTGGACTTTTTGATATCGGGGTCGGATTTCGATTTTGAAAGTTGGAATAGGTCCGTAATGTCAATTATTTCTTGTGTGCAAAATTTGAGGTCAGTCGGACGTGATTTGATAAGTTTCGGCATCGATTGTAGAAGTTTAAAATTTCGAAGTTTATTAAGTTTGAATTGGAGGGTG